TCGAAATAAGTCAAGTACCCAGCTGGTTTTCCTCTACTCACTGTAAAGACTTCAACACATCCCCTTCGAGTGTAGTTATACCTCGAACGGGTAGTCTTTCTGTGTGTATATTTGTTTCTCCTAATAACCTCACAGAACGACTACCCGTTCGACATAAAATCTCAATCGAAATGGATGTGGTGAAGTCCTTTCAGTAAGTAGATTGAAACCAACTGGAGACTTGGCTTATTTGGAGTCTGTTCAAGCCTAACACTGAGTTATCAGCACTGCCAGTTGGAGCTGAGAAGAACAGCAGTATCTGGACAGTTAGCGCCCGCACTTAATTGTTGTTGTTGTTGTTGTTGTCTTCACATCTAAAACCGTTCCGATCTCTCTACTAGGAAACTGATGAATTTCTCACATCGCCAATTTCTTTTTTTCCCTGCTCACGAGAGCTGGCGGAGAGCGCCATCAAGACCCTACAGCAGATAGCATATCGTGGTTCGCGGCCTGTCTGATGTGCTGCGCCAGATCCGGAGCGCCAGAGAGCGCCAGAGCCGGCAAGGGGCCGGAGAGGGTTCCGCAAAAAATACACACTTCCCCCTCGTCGTACAACTAATAGACTAACGCACTTGGGAGGGGGGGGATGGTGGGAGAGGGGGGAAAGAGCGAAAGATGAAAGGAGCTGTGGGGTGTTTCTCATTCGACACGCTCTCCCGTAACCTCTCGTTTCTTATGTAGAAGGGCAGCGGTCACCGCTGTTTCTTATTGAGACATTTCTTTTCGTGTGACCAAGACTGAGCTTTGTTTTTAACCCCATTTTCTTACTCCTATTTTTCATGGAAACGTGAGCCTCTATTTCTTAAAAATACATTTCTTAATTGCGGGCGCCAACTGTATTATAGGCGGATACATTCCTAATTTTATGTGGAATGTGGCCTTCACAGGGATCATGGCGCAGTGTTGTTTGACAACTTGCAATTTTTCAAAAGTACTTCGCTGCTGTTTTATTTAGGCGATTTTACAAGACTACAGTATCTAGACTACAGGACTACAGCTGTAGGACTGTTGTACTTTTTTTCCTTTTTTCTCCCATCATTGGATTCTGTCGTCTGCCCCTCTGGCCCCTATCCTCCACTTCTACTAGCTAGACGACCCAACCGGGGTTACACAGGAGGGGGAGGGTGGACCCCCTCATGCGGTTCCTGCCGGAGATATTTTTATCGCGAGAAGGGTACAGCAATCCCTTCCCCCGCGACTTGTGAAGTCGATCAAGTTTTCTACCAACGCGCTTTGCAGCGCATCGCTTCCAACGGAGACCACGGTATAAATAGCGAGAAGAACTCACTCTGTTGGGACTCGGACCCATGACCTGGCCCTTAGCAGGCTGCAAGGTCACCCACTAAACCACCGGGGCGACCGATATCACACGTACACGCACCACAAATGACTTGTGTGTTCTGTTTCGAGGCGGACAAATAGCTCGCGAATGTCGCAACTCACCGATGTTATTTTGTACTGGAAGACGACATGTAGGCTAGACGACGTGTAGATATTCGGTCGTGTCTTTGTCTATTCTCGATGGGTACGATACCACAAGTTGCTCAGGGGCACAATACTCAGGTAGAGCAGCGTTCCGAAGAGACAGCAACAAACGAACTACTGTACAGCAACAACCTCAACGGCGGAGCCTATGGTCACGTGTATGTACTCTATGCATATTAAGCATCTCAAATATTCCAAAAATATACTCCGGAGTATCTGCAGTAGGAACGAACCTGGTAGACAAGCATAGTGTACTACCCAGGCCATGGTGTAATTTCATCCCACCGTAGTCTTGTACAAGGAAAGGCCCTTAGCGGCGTCCTGCTTCGCGGTCGCCGCTACGCTCGTAGTCTGTACGTACGGGTACATCGAGTGTGCAGTCTGGTCTGGGCTTTTTTATTTCAAATATTCCGAAAAATACTCCGGAGTCTCTGCTGTACAGCAGGAACGAACCTGGAAGACTATCATAGTAGACTACCCGGCCATGGCGTAGAATCGCACTCTAGTCGTCTACAAGGGTGCTTGGCGGCGTCCTGCTTCGTGGTCGCCGCTACGCTCGTAGTCTGTACGGCGATGTCAACTGTTTAGTCTCGTCGTCTATGCTCTGTGGACCATATTCAGCATTTCAAATATTCCGAAAAATACTCCGGACGAACCTGGAAGACTAACATAGAAGCCTATCCAGCCATGTTGTAGAATCGCAGCGTAGTCGTCTACAAGGGCGCTAAGCGGCATCCCGCTTTGCGCCCGCTTTGCGGTCACCGCTACGCTCGTAGTCTGTTTTGCGATGTCAAGTGTGTACGGGTGAAGTTTGCGGATGCAAGGAAAGTTGTAATCTCTTGTTCGAAGGTCGACGAGTTCAACCTTGGTTTGCGAGCCATGTATTTTTCGGGCGGGTGAAATATGCTGTGCTGTGTGCACGACACCGCGGCCGCAACCCCCCAGCTTTTCGTCCGGATCAAAAGAAAAGTGCACTAGAGTCAGTAGGGCGCTTTGTCTCACGTCATGCGGAGACTTGGTTGCTTGGTTGTTGCGTGTGGCGAGGATGTTGTGTAGTCAGCGCACAGAACGCACCGGACCACGCCAACCCGGCTGTGTTGGTTGAGTCCTGGTAGATCTCGAATACGCGACTTCTGCCCTCGTTGACGCTTTTCGACGGCCGCCCCGAGAGCGAGACGCGCAAGGGCAAGGACCTCGTGGCCCGGGGCTACTAGCAGCCGTGAATCTCGCGGCGAACGGAGGTCTAGGGGCGAAGAAACCGCGAAAAATGGGCTTTAGAGCCACGAGCGAGCTAGGCTTGTTGTTTTCTTCACATTAAACTCGTGTCAGTTGCTAATCCCAAAATCTAGCCAAGACTCGGTCCGTGGTCACAAAAATGCTAAAGCCATCAGAAGATCTGAAGACCACGCACACTATTTGCAAGAACAGGGTACACAAGCCCGAGGAGGTACACCTACAATCCCTGCAGCACGTTTGCGTTCTCGCAACTGAACTACACTCCCTATGTGACCCCGGTTGGGTCGTCTACCTGGTAGAAGTGGAGGATAGAGGCCAGAGGGGCAGACGACAGAGTCCGACGATGGGAGAAAAACAAACGAGAAAAACTACAATTCGACTACAGCAGCAGTAACACCCCCCTTGTCCCGCATTTTACCAAAATGAATGTTTGTCGACTACAGNAAAGCCATCAGAAGATCTGAAGACCACGCACACTATTTGCAAGAACAGGGTACACAAGCCCGAGGAGGTACACCTACAATCCCTGCAGCACGTTTGCGTTCTCGCAACTGAACTACACTCCCTATGTGACCCCGGTTGGGTCGTCTACCTGGTAGAAGTGGAGGATAGAGGCCAGAGGGGCAGACGACAGAGTCCGACGATGGGAGAAAAACAAACGAGAAAAACTACAATTCGACTACAGCAGCAGTAACACCCCCCTTGTCCCGCATTTTACCAAAATGAATGTTTGTCGACTACAGCGTACTGCTGTCTGAAGTGCTGTCTGTACAATAATAACACCATGGTGCATGGTACACAAGCTCGAGGCATGCAGCTGCTGCTGCTGAAGTGCTGTCAGAATGAGTCCATGGACGTACAATGAAAGAGGACACCCAACCAAAGCCATCATTGCAATGGACGATCACCCGAATCTATCCAGATCATCTATCTGTGTCAGGCACAGCAAAATAAACATCGACACTGACTAGGAATCGTTCCACATTGAAGGGATCTTCCACGATGCAGGTACATAATTGAGTCACCCGGGTTATCCGCGCCATCTCTGCCGCGTCTCTACACAACCAGTGACGTCATCACACACACCCAACACCTATAGACTACAGCAGTCGACCCCGCTTTAAAGACACACCACGTTTTCCCAAAAAAAAGTGTCTTAAACGCGGGGAAGTATCTTGAAAATTCCGGGGCCACTAACTAACGCACCATCCCCGGGGCCAATGAAGGCGAAACATACGTCAAAAGGCGCGCATTCGCAGCAAAAAGGCGACCACAAGAGGTATTGTTTGAAACCTACGACACAAGGTGATAAAAAATTGAAGGTCGCAACCACTGCTGCTATTGTGCTGCAATACATACTTGCATACCATCGTTTGAAGTTCCCCGTGCTGTACCACCAAAATGCTAAAAGCGATGGTGTTCTACGACCTACGCATCGTACATGTACACGACGGTAGTGCGCTGGTGTTGATATGGGCTTGATTATTTGCTTTATTTTCATTTTTAGGCGTTGTTCTCCGTGAATATCTCCTAAGATCTCTCTACCGCACCTGAGAAATATCGAAGGTTGTTAAACGACTCTAGGAAAATGTAGGCTACGCAGAAACACAAGAGACCAAAAATGTGGGGAAAGTACAGCGACAAAGAGGACACCGCGCCTGCCAAAGGGTCAAAACGAGCACTCTCTCTGCTGTCCATGGCCTCTCCGATGCCCTGACCACAAAATACGTGCGTGGGTCGCCCGCACGGACACTGATGAAGAACCAGTGACACCAGCGCAGATTTGAATTGGCACGTCGGTTCGCCGCATGGCTTCAAGCCGGCAGCAGACGAACCGCTAGCAGATGGAATGAATCTTTCCATACACCCTCACGCAGTGTGCGGCTGCAGCAGACCGCTGTTGATGATCCAGGATCTACAGGTGCTGCAGCACATTTCCTGGAGGGGGTCGAATGGTGTATAACCCAGCCCCCCCTACTTTTTCATATCTGCAGGGCACCATGTTTCTCATATATTTTGTGTCCTTAAAGCGGGGAGTGTCTTTGAAAATGGTGTCTTTAAAGCGGGGACGACTCCATTCATTCAGGAAAGAAAACAAATTGATGGTTTGTCCGTTCGTCACGGTTCGATACCGTCCGCATTCTCCGGTTCCACTGCTCCGGTGCCGCTTCTCCGGTGCCGTTGTGGCCAGTCCTAGCACGACAAACTCGACCCGCTCCATTTCGTACACGCTCTCGTTGCTGTCCTTCCCAGTCGGTTCCTCGCTTGTTCCCTCGTTGCACTTAGGGTTCTTGGTCTGAAAATTGTCGCGCCGAAGGGTCAACCAGCCCACTCAGCTCGTCACCACCTGTCTGTCCCCTCCTTTGATGGCAAAACTAGGATACTGAGACAGTACAGCTCCCTCTAGCAAACCTAGGGCCGTGTACATAGTGCCCGTCCACCTTTCTGATGGCGNCCCCCTCGGTGTTTGCCATCGGGGTTGGGTTTTCGTCGCTTGGCAACGACGTTGTAACACAAGCCGCCCGCCCCCCGGTGTTGTGTAGTCGAGTAGATCATGTTGTGTGGGGTCGAGAATCCTCACTCCGCGCAAGGGGGATGATCGCAACCCGTTGTGTTAAAATGGCAAAGCATCCTCGAGGCTGTTACACAGTGCTTACAACTGTCTCAGCAAGTGGAAGCACCAGAAAATTAATTAAGTCATAGTCTACGCAGCTGTCATCCGTACGCACCGAAGTAAGCACAAGATGCCGAAAACCCTCACAAGGATGCAGCGCACCCTTCATGCGACTCGCCGAATATCTCACGGCGCTTCGCGCTTGG